AATTTGATTGATTTTTTTTGATCAATTAATATCTAATAATCAAATATTTGAAGGTAGAAAATAGATATTTATGATTCAAAAAAACCATGGAAAATAGCTCAAAATTTAGCATTATGACTAAAGGGATTTATTAGAATTGAAATTACTAATCCTTTTGATTAAATATTTTATAATAAGTCTTATTAATTAGATTGATTCTATATTATTTTTATATTAAATTATTGTATAGATATTTATTTATACCATTTTAAACATCTAAAATATTTGGAAAAAATATAAATATTAAGCATTACTGTTATATTGTATCATGGTAAGCCAGTGAACTCTATAATATATGAAATTTCAACAAATAATAGTTGGATACAGTTCAAATTTAATATAATACCAAAAATTTCATAAGTTGTTTCTGAGTTAGGTATTACAATAATTTGATCAACAACTCTATTATCAATTAATTATACATATTTGTAAATCAACCACACATAAACTAAAAAATTTAACATTTCTATTGAATAATGGGGATTCATTATTTAAAGACAATAGATATTTAAAAACTCTAATGTAAATCGTAAATACTAGGATAAAAATAATCCTTTAAACATGTGTTAAATAATTTAATATCTCAACAAAAGTCATACTTAGGTTTTTTTTAAAATATTTGAATTTTGTTCATTAATAGAAACAATTCTCGAAATAAGTATATGTCCTTAAGAATTTCAGATGTATATAATTTAAACTATTTTATGACATCATGATTTTCTTCTTACTTAAATTATTCAATGTAAATTAAAATCCTAAAATGCTCTCCCTAAATGATCTAAATACTTGGAAGCTCCTGAGTTAATAAATGAATCAAAAATTTTGTTGGTAGTAATTATTTAAAATTTCTGTTTTTATTTAATTGAAAAAACTAAGGATTAATTGAAATTTTTTTAAGCAATATTTTTTATTTATCTTTTTTGTAAATATAGATTATTCATCTATATATGTTATTTATAATATTAATAATAATGGGTATGAAATATCAAGAATTGTAAGTTATAAAGAAATTAATTTAAATTGATTTTGCATAAAAAGTAAAAAGAGAAAATGTTTAAAATTAAATAGAAATCAAAAATAAAAACCGATTATTTTAAAAATAATAATTTTTTCTAGATAAATCAAGTCTTTGAAAAAAAATCAAAGGTCAAAAAAAGAGACCAAATTGGGTTACTTATTTTCTAATTGTTGATGTTGTATTATTTTATTTTGATATTTATATTTTCACTTTATTGGATTAATTAATAATAAGTTAACAGTTAATTCAAAAGCTATCTATAAAAGTTTAATCAATTTATCTAAAAATATCTCATTTCTAAAGTGAGAAATTTTTAATTTTAATCTCATTAATCTAAAAGCACATATTCTTAATTTTCTAAAATAACTTTCTATCAAGCAATTAAAAATATTTAGATTATTTTCTTGAAATAATTTTTATAATTTTAAAGTTGAAATTACTCGGAATTATATAATTTTCATTTATTGTTGTAATTAGAAATTCGAAAGCTTAAAACATAGCATGAAAAATTGGAGTGTAGAGTTTAAAAGGTTTTATTTAAGTAAATACAAAATTGACGAGATATCTTTAAAATAATCAAATACACATTCATTTATGATTGGAATCACATCATCAATTATTACTTTATGATACAATCTGCATTAGCATATTTATACTTAAATAATTTTAATTCCATTATTTAGTCAGTTATGTTTTATTGATAAGGTAAAATCCTTTTAAATTTGAAACTATTAGTTTCAAAACGAAAGCATTTTAAAATATATGAATCAAATTTTATTATTTTTTCTCAATTTTTTCTTGTTGATACAGTTAATATATTTGATTCTGTACCAAATAGTTTATTGTATATTTTAGGAGTCAGCACATTCTGTTTTTGATAAATCCTCCTTATATTTATTTTAATATCCTGAAAAAGTAATTTAATCTTAAACCTTTTAATATAAATAAAGAGAGATTGATTATTTTTGAATTTTATTTCTTTGCGATCTAAACTTAAATATCTGTGATCTATTTTTTGATTTTTCATGAACTAAATGAAATCAATAACAGCTATTCTAAATGAATCAAAAAACTAAATTTTGTAAAATAAAAAAATTATAACAACAACACCAGAACATCAGAAAGAATATTTAAAATTGCATGTATACCAATTTTAAGGTTTGTTATTCAATAATGAGAAAAAGAATTCGGTTATCAATTAAAAAGAATAATAGAATATCCCAATTAATCTCCAATTACATAATATAATAAAGAGATTAAAAGATTATTATCTTTCACAAAGATTCTAAAGGGCTAAAACTTGATATTTTATTATTTTAATATAACTAAATATAACTATTGAATGCTAAAAGAATCAAGACAGTTTGAAGAATGAATAAAATAAAGCAAAAAGTAGTTATGGGTAAACAAAGGATAAACTCATTGGCATACTAGATCATTAAAAATTAAGTCCTTTTCTCATTTAGGATCACCAAAAACGACCAATATTGAGTTTCAAATTTTTAGAATCCTCTAAATATAATATTGGCCTCTGAGGAAATGAACTAAACAGAAAAAGTCTAAATTTTTAGTGTTTAGTATTATTCAAAATTACCAGAAAAATCCATGTAATTGAAAAATTGAGCTGTTAATATAAATATAGAAATACTTGTATAATTAATTGAAGAGTTTCTAAAATTTTCAATACTAAAATTTAATTTTTAGAAACATTTTTTTTATTACATTCATCTAATGAATTGATGATTAATGCTTCATCATACCATTCTAATGCTTTCTTAAATAAATATAATATAATACTTAATGGTCAATTTTAGAGGTCTCGGTCTTAAAAATTAAATATATAAAATATATTCAAATCTTTTTAACTTTCCTAATATATAAATTCATAATTAATAACTAATAATCTTTTTGATTTTTATACAAACCCTATTATTTTTATTTTTTTTCTTATTATTCTCTCTATCTTTAACTTCATTATATATATCAAGTTGATTATTTTTGTATGCTAATGTACAATTTTAGAGCAAAATTAATGAAATTCTATTATATATTTCACTTATGCTTTTTCAATCTCAATAAAAGATTCAAATAAGTAGATTTATTTTAGTTCACTTAAAATAAAGAAATTACTTAAACTACAGAACAGATACTTTATTAACTAAATTTTCTTTTTCTCAAAATCATCAAATGAAATGAGAAATTTGAATTTGAGGTTTGTGTCTTTAATCTTCAGATTTATCAATTATTAGAAATGAAACTATGAGACAAAGAAAAAGAAACTTTTAGTAAAGCTTTTACATTTGAGAAAACAACAATTCTCTCTAATCTCAAATAATATTAATATTTTTACTAGATTTTCGCTCTTTTGAAAATCAGATTTATCATGATTTTATGCAAAAGATATTATTAATCTATGCAATTTAGAATTATGATTGAGTAAAATTGTAAATTAGATAATGATAAAAGTTTAAAACTAGATTATATTAGAATTGATCTAACTTAAAAAATATGTATTTATAATTGAAACTATTTAATTATTTTTTTAGTAAAAATTTTTGATTCTAAATCAAAAATTAAACCTAAAATAAAAATAGTGCAATTACATTATTAATTGAACATGAAAATTCCTTTATGAACTCCTTTTTTATTCAATGGTTTAAATAAATAAAATATAACTTATATAATTGATAAAACTATTAAATTTATGGTATTTATTGAATTTATAAAATTATAAATTATCCCGGTTTTTTTCTGCAGTTTGCCACCCAATCTAATTTTTTTAGCTTATTTTTTCAACAAACTACAATTTTAACATAATAGCTAAAATAACAAACTTAATCAAAATTTTTAGCCTTTTGTTGTATCATTATAATTTACAAAAATTAAAAACTTTCAATTTCTGGAATTAAGGATAAACTACTTTTCTTATGGGATTTAAATTCAAAAAATTAAACTCCGTTTGTAGGTCAAAAAGATTATATAGCATCAATTATCCATAATATGGAGATAATATTGTTGGAAATCTACAGCTTTAATCCTGAAGTAATATAAAGGACATTTATAAAAATTTAATTATCATTAAAATAATTTTTCGTTTCAGCAGGTAGAGAGAATCATCTTATCTTAATTTGAGATACAAATAATTCTAAAATTGGAAGAAAATCTAATGAACTTTAAGCAGTTGCTTTTGATAAGCATTTAGCATTAGTTTAAAGAGATTACTCAAGAAAATATAACAGAAATTTGAGTAATTCTTCTACTCGTAAGAAAATACTAATTTTAATAAACAATGGTATCTCTAAATAATATTGAGATTTTTTAAGAAACTTTTAATTTGTAAAGCAAAAATTTCATGCTTGATAGATTTTTGCATTTGGGCAAAAAATATGAATGTTTTACAAAATTGCTAGATTTTTACTCTTGAGTTTTGCAAGTGAATTAATATTTTATGATAGGTTTAATTGATTCTGGAACATTATTTAAAAAAAGGAATAATTTGATTTTTTACTAAAGGAGTTGTTAATTAAGTTTTATAAAATATTGAATAAATAAATATGCAAATATAAAAACTTCTTAAGATTGATATTTTCTTTGTAATATATCAGCATTAATATTTTAATAAATGAATTTTCATAAAAAAAATAGTAGCAATAAATTCTCCTTTCAACCAATAAATTCAGGAATTATTAAGCACTCACAAGTTTGTAAAGCCATAGCCATAAATAATAATAATAAATTTATTTTGGGTTCATTTGAAAAAATAATTAAATTTTTCTAATTTGATGGAGATCAAATTAAACAAATAAAATTTCTTACTATGCACAAGAAAATTATCACTAATTTGACGATTTGCAAATAAAAACCTAATTATTAATCAAGTTCAAAGGATGGATCTATATAAATTTCTTCGTTTCTACTTTCTTCATCACCAAAATACTTGCAAAGATTATAAGAACATAAAAAAGAAATTAATTGTTTAATTTTACATCCAAGAAATGAAAACTTATTTGTATCTGGATGTGATGATGGAGCAATCATATTCTGGAATTGTATAAATAATTAATGGTAGAAGAATTAGATCATAAATAATTATTAAGGTTCTTATCTTGGAGATATTTATGGATTGTCGATTAATCCAGAAAAAAACGAAATAATCTCCTGTACTCATAGAAGTTAGATAATTGTGATGAAATAATAAAATGAAAATAAACTTGATTCCTTTTGGAAAATAACATAAATAATTAAAGATGGATTTGGATATCGTATCGGTTTTATTACAAGTGAAATTTTTGTTTTTTAGCCTCGTTCATCGTCAAAATTGTTAATTTATAAGCTAGACTAAAATGATAATTATTAATAAATATAAGATTTGCAGGTTTAAGGAGGTAATTAACCTTGTGGTTTATATTTTCCTATCTTTTACATTCTTCAAAAAAAGTTTTTTTTGAGTAAAAATGGTCATTGTATTAATATTATCATATTTAATTAATAAGTGGAAAGCAAGAAAATTATGAAAAAAATAGAACAAGATTAAGCAATTTAAGAAAATTGTTTTAATTTTGAATTGGCTTAAACTATTGAAATAAAATAAGCATATTGGGGAGAGATTTATGGTGTAGTAAGCAATGATGGAAAATATTTGATAATTTGGAGTGATTCTTAAAGATAAATTTTGATAAGTAAATATATAGAGAATAATATACTGTCATAAAATTATTGAAATCATAAATTATAAATATATTTAAATTAAAAATGAACTTGTAAGAATATATAACTATTTATTTTTCTTTACAAATAATTAATTAACCATAATTTAAATTGAAATAAATCTGCATTATGTTTAGTATTACTAGTTGAAATAGAGATGAAATAACTCTTTTGAGTTTGTTATTTAAATTTGTCATTAAATATATTTTTTAATTAAATTCTAGATTTTGATAGGTAAAGCCATACTATGGCCCATAATCGAATTTCTGATTATTTTTATAATTGATCGTGATTCTGCTTTCATATTTAAACTGTTATTTTAGTTATTAATTTAGAATTTAGCT